TGGGTGTCTGGGAAAAAAAGATACCACCTCTCACTGGATGGCCCCATCAGTCTGTGTCCCTGGGCACAGGGCACTCTGAAGAGGCTCATGGCCTGTGCCAACTGTGAGACACCTCATCTCCCTCTACCTCCAGGGATTAGCTTTAGCCACTTTCCCCAGTTTTTCTTCTGACTGGGGCCCCAACTCTGGTCATTTTGGTGGCTTGACTTAGGTGAATGAACCAGAAGAGTAGAGAAAGGTAGATTGGCCTCTCCTGTCCCCCTCTCACCTTAACATGTTCTGATTGATTACTAAACTCCATTAAGTTATCTGGACCCTGGTGACTGGAGCTCACTGGTATGGGTACACTGTCCCTCTTGTTCACCTGTGCCCCAACCACCTCAGGGTCAGGACCACATTTACCTCCACTGCCAGCCAGTGTGGAGGTTTGTCGTTTCCCTCTTTTTTGACTTAGTAGATCCTTAGCCCACTGTTACATCTGTGGCTTAACGAAAGGAGGTAGTTTGATATCAGAGGTTCTCAAATTTTCTGTGCATCAAAATTACCTGGGGTGCTTTTTGAAATAGTTTTCTAGCCTCATGCCCAGAGATTCCCTTTCAGTAGGCAAAGCTAGCTTCATGGGCTGCAACCTCTGCAGTCACACAGGACCCCACAGTCAAGAGAACCCAATGATTGGCTTAATGATTTGCTGTCACCATCTTGAAATTCTTGATTTTTTCTTGTTGACACTGTTACAAATGTCCCCCATGTTCTCCTTTGCTCCCCTCCACCCAGTACCCCCCCAGCCTTCACCACATTGTTTCTGTGTTTACTGGGGCTCTGAATGTTCATTTTGCTCTGGGTCCCATCTATTATAGCCAGTCCTAAGGGTGGAGGTATTAAGCTGAGAAGAGAGAAAGAGAGAGAGGAGAGAGAGAGAGAGAGAGACAGACAGACAGAAGAGGAGAGGAGAGAGGGACAGAGAGAGAAATGAAGGAAGGAAGGGAGAAAGGAAGGAAAGATCATGGACACAGACAATAGTATGTCAGTTGTCAGAGGGAAGGTGGTGGGGTGAGGTGGAAGAGGGTATGGGGGTGGTAAATAGTGATAGAAGGGCCCTGGATCGTGTGGCTCAGTGGATTCAGCAATGGACTGTGAACCAAAGGCTCACTGGTTCAATGCCCAGTCCGGGCACATGCCTGGGTTGCGGGCCAGGTCCCCAGTAGAGGACACAGGAAGGGCAACCACACATTGATGTTTCTTTCCCCCTCTTTCTCTCTCTCTTCCCCTCTCTCTAAAAATAAATAAATAACACCTTTAAAAAAACTAATGATGGAAGGAGACTTGACTTGGGGTGGTGAACACAATACAATATACAGATAATATATTACACAACGGTACACCAGAAACCTACATAATTTTATTAACCAATGTCACCCCAATAAATTCAATAAACTAAAAATAAAAATAATAGACAGTCCTGTCAGTAGGTCCAGAATTGAGTTTTAAGAATCCAACACGTTCCTGGGTGTGGTGGATGCTGCTGAGGGGAACCACTGACTGAGATTCTGCAGAGTCAGCCCAAAGAACAGAGGAAATGGACAGTGGCCTCTGCTTGATGAAATCCAATCAGCCATGAAAATGGAGGAAGAGTGTGGCAGTTTTCGTTACTTTTGTTATTATTGTTCTTGTTTTATTATGTTTTGTTTTAACCAAAGTAAATGTTCTCATGAAGCATGGTGCCCTTTCAGTTCCAACAATTAATGGGGGTATGATTTCCCTGTCTATTAGTCCAAAAACGATGTATTGAAACAGCTTGAAAAAATATGTGAAGTGGAAGGATACTGTGGTAAGTAACTTGAGAAACTAGGAACAGGAAAATAATGGAAAGAGTGAGAAAATAAGATGCAGTTGGGGTGTGAAAAAACACCCAGTACACCAACTGGAGTGGAGCCTCAATGCCTCAGAGCCTTTTAGCAGCCATTACAGAGAGAGATACATTATTACATGGTGCAACTAAATAGCCTACTTGCTTGGTAGATACCCAAATGTCTCTAGTACTGAGACTTAAAAGGAGCTTCTTTCATAGAGTATGTTTCTTTATGCACTTAACTGTTGACTGAATCTGCAACTTGGAGTATTTTGTTGAATGTACTTTCTTCTATATGTTTTATAAGACAGGTGAGGAAGACATGAGACAGAACTAAGGGGTTCTCCATGAGCTAAAATATGACCTTTCCAAAATTCTTCTCCCAATGTGGGGGGCCAAAAAGGTGTTTGTAGCTCTGATAGTTATTTTGTTTTGGCAATAAATTGACTTGACTCTCTTGAAAACACCCCATAAAATAAGGCTTCATGAACCCACTGATTCTTACTGAGGAGACATAAGACAATTTCATTAATGAGTAGAAAAGTGTCAACTAAACAAGCAAAAAAAATGAAATTAGTTCAGTAATATAATTTCTAGCCTTGGTCAGAACCTAGAACCCTAATTCTGAGCTGAGCTTCATGTAGCTACCAATTCAAAGCATTCAATTTTTTCTCATTTTCATGGTAAAGTTTCCTCAACCAGAGCTGAGCCCATGATAAGTACACTTGTTTTCTGCTCCCTCCATCAGAATTAAGGAGACTTTTTCCCCTTTGATTAGATATGGAGGATAAATCCATTTATCCCCCACTTTCCAGCAGAAGTAGTAAAAGCTCCTTTTAGTTTTCCTTCATTCATCAGAGGCCTAAAGTTTCTGGAAAATCACTGTCCTGTCTGTTCTCTGGCTCTTTCCTGTAAGATTATTTGTCATCAGTTTAAAGAGGAGGCAAAGGAAGGACTTATTTATTCCATGTGGCTAAGATATTCCCTCAACAAAAGTGCTTCAGGCCCTGGCTGCCTCAGTGACCAGTGAGGCACGTCACATAATGAAATGCTTTTCTTCTGGACACTGACCCATGCTGGGAACCCAAGAAGAAACAAGACCCCTGTAAACACCCTTCCTCTATGTTGCATGCAAAACCTTTTGGTTGGGAAAGGATTACTCAGGCATGTGTTTACTTTGTTTAAGATCACAGAGGATTTGTGTTTGAAAAATTAAACCAAAAGAAATCAAAGACTAGTAAAGAGAAGTGAAGTGTAGGGGTGGGGAACACCCCCCACACTTCAAAAGCAGGTTCTGGAACTTCTAATCAATCTGTGATCATTTCCCTTTAAGATGTCAGGGCCACTTTTGAGGAAGGTAGAAAATACAGATGTTCACAGGTAAGACTTCAAACACTCTTTTCACACTCCCGACATTATTGTTTTTTTGTTCCATTCACATTTTCACTGCTGTTTCTTTTGCTGTGACAAATCATGCACATAAACATGTAATTGATGTGCTAATGAGTATGTTTTATATCAATTTGTAACAGAACTTGTGCTTTGTTGAATCACTTTAGATGTATTTAAATGCAATGCACACTAATTATGGTCATATATTTGTCCTCTCGGCCACATTATACATGAAATTATTTCTACCAGTAGCATCATTATCATCATTGTCAGAGGAAGGATGGATTTACTGACACTAAATATTTGAGTGGGGGAAGAAAAGTTGGCCATGAAGCCATAATGAACATCATGTAAAGTTTTAATCATAGTTTATCTGAATTGTTTTAATTCAAGATACTGAGTAAAATAAAAGATTTGTCAACCAGTGTTCTTAACAAATAGTGAGCATCAGACTTTAATTTTACTTATTTATTTAACAGCTGCAAAGATATATGTATACACATACATACTGACATATATTGGATTGTATAAAATCTGAGGTATGCTTTTCCAAATAGCCTCAGGAGCTTTAGCTCCACAGGGAATACATATTTCAGTTGGTACCACAAACGGAGTAAGTCCTCAACACAACACTAAAATCTGGGCCACTTTTCCATCAACTTTGAGACATGCTCTAGTATCTAGTATCAAGAATCTCATTTGACTGAATAGTATCCCATGGCCAGAAACAATCACAATGATATACAAATAATTCCAAAATACTCACTGCAATCAATTTAATCAATTAGTTGGTATTACTTTAATTTAAAAATATAAATATTTAGTTAATAGATCTCCTAAATACAGAATCATTGATGGCTGGTACATGTACTAAATTAAATGCTGTATTTTAAAGATATCAAATGTGAATCCCAAGTTATTTTTTGTTAAATTAAGTGTCTTAAATGCCCTGAATATATCCTGGCAAGTTCAGCCTATTTCTAAATTTCATGTTTAGTTATCATTTTAATCAAATACACACAATATTCTGATTTGCCGGTGTTTATGAGTGCACACTCCTACACATATAGCCATAAATATGGTTGGTTGATAAAAATAATGGCAGTTCAGTCTTTTGGGGTTTTTTTTTATTGCTTTATAATCCATCAATGCACAGTGGTGACAGTTTTTCTTTTTGCACATATGTATCACTCCCCAGTTTAACCATGACTCAGTTCTCTTTCCAGCCACTTTAAATTGTGTTTGTAAAGCCTTTCTTCGAATCATATTTCCTACAGGATGTCAGTTTCTTTTAAAACCCAGTGAGTACATTTTGTTCTTCTTGCCCCAAACAGAAATGCCTTTTGTTTTTGACAAAAAGTTTCTGTTTCTTTATGATACTTTAAACTTCTTTTGCTCTTTTCATAGTTCTTGAGCAATCTTCCATAGGTGTTTAGACTTTAACTTTGAGTTGAAAACAGTTTAATCCAACAGGCATTTTAACGAGGCACATTGGAGAAGACAGGGATCCATCTCGAGTTCATCCTTCCTCCTCCCTTCGCCATACATTTCAATAACATTTGTTGAGTTTTACTGCCCTCTGCTGGCTGTTTTATGGAAACGCTTTCACTGTATTGATGCAAGTTTTGGAACATTGCTCAAAAGTCTTGTTTGTTTCAGCCATGCATTCTCTTCCTGTCATTTGTGTAACGGTCACATTGTTTGAATATGGTCGTTGATTGTTAGCATACTCACACGCCTGTATGTCTCCTTGTTTCAGAAGCCCTGACATGCTGCAGTCGGAAGTTTCCTTTTCCATGGGCGGAAGGCACTCATCCACAGACTCCAACAAGGCCTCCAGCGGAGACCTCTCCCCTTATGACAACAACTCCCCAGTGCTGTCCGAACGTTCCCTGCTGGCTATGCAAGAGAACACAGCTCCGGAGGGCTTGGAGAAGCTTTACAAAGGACCAGAGCAGTATACGCTGGTGGGCCACTTGCCATCTTTGAAGTCGAGGGAGAGTTCTCCTGGACCAAGGCTTAGCAAAGGTAACTATAGCCATGTGGGCGCTGGCCATATCAGTGACTCTGACTGCATGTGGCACGTGGCCTTAGGAACTTTTCTTTATCCCCTTCCTAGGTTTATGTTTCTCTAATTCAGTGAGCATTTACTGAATACCTGCTCCAAATCTTCTCTCTGGGAAGAGGAAGGTGAGGTTAGCCCAGTCATTGTCCTGGAGGGTCCCTGTGGACTAAGATGTCTGGGAAGCATTCTCATGCTGAGAGAGAGAGACTAATATTCCCAGTTGATTCTTTTCCTTCCAGCATCCCAGGATGTGTGTCCCAGCCAGTGAATTTGGGTGCATATTTGCTAATCTAAGATGTCATCCTATTATTGCTGTTACTTTTATAAAGAGAACAAGCTGAACCTACTATATAACAAGACATCATGTTCCAGAAAGAACATAATGTTAGTCTCCAGGGAGATTAACATTTTTAGGCAGAATAAGGGTGTCATGGTAAAAGGCATTTGGGAAATGGCGTCTCTATAGTACAATTTGTCAAACTCTTAAGTGCTAGTGGTTGAATTTCCGCAGATGGAAGGATGGTGTGGTTTGCCGCTTTTCCCACGTTTATTTGACCACTGATTTGACCACTGAATGTTTGCTTGTGTTCTTTCCCTCCACAGAGTAATTCCTTGGGGTCAGGACTCAGCAGGACACTCTTTGAGTAATAATTAGAAAACACAGTATAAATTTTTGCTACTTTATCTTAAAGTTCTAATTTAATCCCAAGAGCCACTCTGGAAGGGCTCTGTGTGTTTTTAAATGATAGCATCTTTATTTTATTTTCCAAATATACATGTCAAAAATAATTTTTTAAATTTTCAGTGAAAGCAATAATCCATGTTCCCATCAGGCATTATATTTATTTTTAAAATGTGAAACTTTATTTTCCTATTTCTTGTTCACATGCACACATAACTCTATATATTTGTTTTCATAGTATAACTACTTGTGAAGTAAGCTTATTTTACTTAAAATCCTGTTATTCATTTTTCATTTTGCTAACATTTTTCATGGCTACAATATATTTCCATTAAACAGATGTATCATGGATTTTAATTATTCCCAGTCTGATGTGTATAATTGATCTCCAATTTTAATCTTTTAAATTACTAGCAAGTTTTTTATATGTAATATTCTCTGCAGCAGCCAAAAAAAAAGGCAATCTGAAGAGAACTTTGATGTTATGAGAGGCATAGCATATTTGGGTTTGTAAATACAGATTCAAAGTAATATTTTCGGACACATTCACACTTGGAAAGCTTGATTTTTTCCTCCCAGGGTCAGTATCTTTGCTGTGCAGTTTTTTTTAGCAAGTGGGCCAAGATACACATGGGCTGTAACTTATTAGTAGATAAAGTAGGCATCCATCAGCTCTCTCCATCCATTTAATATTTTGGCAAACTCTAACACTGTAGTTCTTAATTTTGCCCCTAGGGGACACATGGCAATGTCTGAGGACATTTTGGTTGTCACAACTTGGGAAGGGGTTGCTACTGGTATCCGGTGGGGAGAGGCATGGGCTGCTACCCAGGACAATGCCCAGGACAGCTCCTCTCACAACAAAGAATGACCCTCCCCAATGTCACTAGTGCCAAGGTGGAGAATTCCTGTCTAATTTGTATCTTTCTCCCTGGAGATGATTTTACCCCAAGTGAACTAGAAGCGAATAGCGTTGGTATCCAATGACAAGAGCACTAGATTTATAGTGCATAAAAAGATTTATAGTGGCTCTGCCACTTTCAACCTGCAGGGCCTTAAGTGAGTGATTGAGGTTTTTGGAGTCCCATTTCTTCCTCCTATGAAAACTAAGACAGATAGCAGTATTAATTCATAGGGCTTAACTAGCTAATCTATGTAAAGTCCTTAACAGAGAACTTGGCAGGTAATAAATGCTTGATGACACTTTCTACGTAACCCTGTGTGCACTTCGTACCTACTCCTTCTGCTATTTGCCAACCTGTAAAACGGACTCAGGGGCATCTCCTTGGGATTGAGAGCATACACATGTATTGTGGGATACGGGGAAGCTTCCATTACACATTTGCTTCTAGAAGTAGTAATTATGATTACATCAGAGGATTGTAATGAGGATTAAATGAGATGATGAGGACACCTAAAATAGTGCCTTACTTTGTAAATATTTATAGATGGACTAAGGGAATGTATGAATGAAAGCATGCAGAAATTAATCTATTGATTGCAGTAGCCGAGTATTCCTGAGGGTAGTACTAGATATAGGAATGAGAATTGTTTCTCTATCTCTATGTTAATGTAGTCGGAGATGTTGCCACTCATCACCGTTGTATCCATTTCCTGTTGCTGCTATAACAAATGGCCACAAACTTAGTGATTTAAAATTCTATACAAATTTATTATGGTTCTGGACATCAGATGTCTAAAATAGGTCAGCAGAGCTGTGTTCCTTCTGGAGGCTTCATGGGAGAATGTGTTTCCTTACCTATTTCACCTTCTAGAGGCTACCTGCATTCCTTACCTCATGGCCCCTTCCTCCATCCTCAAAGCCATCCTGTCTCCTCTTCTCTCCTGCCTCCCTTTTACAAGTATCCTTGTGATGATATTATGTCCACCTAGATAATCCAGGATCATTGCCTCAATATTCCTAATTTAATCACACCTGCAAAAATCCCTCTTAAATATAACATCTTTACAGGTTCTAGGGAATCACGACATGGACATCTTATTCTCTCTACCACAGTGGTAAAAAGCCTTTTTGTAAATCCCAGATGGACTAGCCTTCTGAAAGACGGATACATCTCATAGTCTGTTTTGTATCCATCATGATCTCAAATACAGTACTTTGCAAAGAAGAGATGCTATATAAAAATATGCGTGTATTGATTTTTGCACTTAAATTTTCATTGTGGATTACATACCTTTTTATTACACTTTTCCTAGATATGTCAGAGGAACCTTTCAATATCTGGGGAACTTGGCATTCCACATTAAAAAGTGGATCCAAAGACCCAGGAATGACAGGTGAGGCCTAATTTTTTTAAAGAGTGTTTATTACGTTTGTTTTTAAAATTAATTTCTTTTAATTTTGCCTTCTTATTGCCATATTGTGTGCTTATCAAAAGTTATTTGGAAAATGCTGGAAGTACAAGGGAAAGGATAAAGTTATACTTGGCTTTTCCACCAAAATATGTCAGTTTGTGACTATGTCTCGTTTTATTTCCTTTGCCGCAGTTTTTAAACATGGCTAAAATCATTCTGTCTATGCAACTTTATATTATTTAACTTCTCTTTCCCAGTTATTTTCCATTACTATTGGTAAGGGCCACACAGTATTTCAGAAAACTATATTCATAGTTTTCAGCCCAGTGCTTGGACAACTGGGTTGTTTCCATTTCTGTGTTGTTTTTGTAATAATTTATGCCTGTCGGGAACTCATTTTCTGTACTTTTTAAAAATGTTAAGTTATTATTAGGGTCACAAAATTGCAGAAAAGAAGTTATAAATCCCGAATAAGAAAGTGGGTCGAACATTATGAACCTTTCCAAGATTTCAGAGGTGTAGTCACTTCATGTTCCCTGTAGGATGCATGAGCTTCTTCTCTGCGAGCTGCAGACGGCAGTAGTATTTCACTGCATTGCCTATGTCTTTTTAATTTCATTGCTATTGCAAATCATTGGGTTTGCATTTTTGCTCATTTAAAAAACAAAATTGTATTAATTTAAAAAATGTATTGGGGTGACATTGGTTAATAACATTAGACAAGTTTCAGGTGTACAACTGTATACTACATCATCTGTATATGGTATTATGTGCTCAGCACCCAGAGTCTAGTCTCTCTCTGTCACCATATATTTGACCCCTTTACCCTCTTCAACCTTCCCCTACCCCTTTTCCTCTCTGGTAGCCACCATACTGGTGTCTGTCTCTGAGTTTGTTTTGTTTCTTCATTTTCTGCTTTCTGTTTTATATCCCACATGAGTGAAATTATATAGTTCTTGACCTTTTCTATCTGATTGATTTTGCTTAACATTCTCAGGATATTGTCAGGATCCATCCATGTTGTCACAAATGGCAGTATTTCATCCTTCTGGCTGAGTAGTATTCCATTGTATTATTTTCATTTTCATTTATTTCTTATCAGCATTTTCACTTTTTCTACTAATGAACTGAATGTTCCCTCATTGAATTATCATTTATATCATTGGCTTTTTTTGTATGCTAATATTTTTTAATTGATTCTTATGAACTCTTGCTATAATAAAGATATTATCCCTTTGTCCATATTGTTTGCCACTTCCATTATTTCTTGCACTTTTTTTCCATTTTGGATATCAAGAATGTTTTTAGGTTTCACATAAATAAGTCTATTAGTATCTTTTTGTGCATTCTTTCACAAAATTAATCTTTACTTAAGCATTGGATAGTCATCTATGTACTTTTGCTTTCATAGTATTTTATTCTTTTAACCTTAATTCTTTAATTCATCTGAAGTATATGTTAATATATAGCATGAAGTGTATAAACTATTTTATTTATTATTCCATATATATATATATATTCATATTCCCATTCTCATTGTTTTGTAATGCCTCTCATATTATATTTAAAGCACAGTGCATTTTTTATTTAATAGCCTTTAATGCAACTGACGTTAGTAATGATCCACTCTCTAGCTATTTATCTCATTGTATCCTATGAAGTGCTTCACTGTCTTTCCTCCCAATGATCAACTCTTCTGCTTCATTTTCCTTCTGCAGTTTCAACTCTGAGCTATCCCTGTCTAAATGCACACGTCCCTCTCTTTCCTGAAAATGATCTTGTTTTTTTTTGTCTTTGCCTACTTTTTAAGACATGAGAAGACATGGAAGTTCCATAGGAAAAAAGGCACTCTGGGGACATAAGCCCCAAGAACTCCTTGGGAAACACACTGTTTCACTCTGCCATCAGTTTTCTGAAGCAAATTGGATCAGTTCAGGAAGGCTAAATACTATAATAACCAGCCCCTAAATGGTAGTGGCTTAACCTGCTGATTTCTCCCTCACATCACAGTTCAATGTGGTTGTGCAGGGTGAGGAAGGGCGGGAGTGCTCTGTTCCACATGCAGCTCCCTGTCCTCGGAGGCTTCATTGTCTCCCATGGTTTCTCTATCCTAGGCTAGTAGCTGTGCTGGGGTGAGGAGGGGGGTGCGGGCTGGGAGGCAGCAAGAGAGACTACGATTTTTTATTAGACTAGGCCTAGAAATAGTTCACATCACATCTCTTCATATTCATTGGTCAGACCTCCTTTATGTGGCCATCCTAACTGAAAAGGAGGATGGGAAATGTCATCCAGAAGGAAAGGGGAGGATGTGTGAACAAAGCCAGGCTTTCCCACAGTGCTGGTGATAGACTGTACACACCAGCTGCTGTGTTCATTATCTTCTGGCATGAAATGGGCATTTTTAGATTCCATTCATTTATTCTGACAGCTTTTATTGACATGGTAGAAACATGAAAACATTATTATTCCTGTCTCCTCTGGACTGCAAATTGCACTGAACAGGAATGGAACAGAGAAGAGTTCATAGCCAGGTAGACGGGGCATTTTCTGAAACATTAATTAGTGACAAAGATTGTTTAATGTCATTTGCTAGCTAACCTGTTAGTGTCTGGACATCTGTATTTGCAGTTGCTACAGGAATTGTGTCAGTAATCAAAAAGTGTTTGTCATTTCTCTCACTAGGAAGTCTTTTACTTGGGTAGCAGCAGCTAAGAGAATCCTGTGCTTTTGCAGTTTTCAAAACTGGCAGTGGGAAGGAAATAACGGGACATCCCAACAGGGACTCTATAAACTAATTGCATTTCTTACCTTTCTCTCTGGCTTCCAGGTTCCTATGGAGACATTTTTGAAAGCAGCTCCCTACGACCGGGGCCATACTCCCTTTCTCAAGGGAACCTGTCCCTAAATTGGCCTCGGTGGCAGGGGAGCCCCACAGAACTGGACAGTGGTATGCAGGTCATTCGGAGGACTCAGACCACAGCCACTGTTGCGGAGTGCCGAGGCCACCCTCCTGTGTCCCGAGTCTGCAGCACGCCCCACATCCAAAGCAGCAGCAGGAGATCAGAGGTGGCCACACCAGGGTCAGAGCAGTATTTGACTCTGAGCAGTGCCAAAGACCTTACTGAGAGCCAGCTGGATGTGGCCCGGCTGCAGAGCCGAGCCAAGCCTTTGCACCAGAGACCTCGAGAGAGTGTGAGGCATGACAACAGGCCTCCTCCTCCTTATCCTGGTCTGGGAAAGCAAGCTTTAGCCTTGGCCCACCAGCCAGCAGAGCCACCATTGTGGAGGCGCCAGAGGCCAGAAGAAAGCTCAGGATCAGCTTTGGAAGAGGGAAGCCAAACAGCCGAGAGGGAGCATCAGGCTGCCCAGCCCAAAGTGAGCAGTGCCTGCTCCAGCCCCGCCAGCAATCAGAACAGTAAGGCCTTGGGTGAGCCCAACTGGCTTGATTGGCAGAGAGATCGGTGGCAGATCTGGGAGCTCTTGTCCACTGACAACCCCGATGCCCTCCCGGAAACACTGGTATGAGCCCACACCCAGCTTGAGCCCTCACATCCCAACAGCCTTCTTTCACTCGGTAGGGACAAAATCTGGTGTTGGACAATTGAACACTTACTTACTTTTTTTCTTTTACACTTCAAATAATACCACAAGAGGAACCCAATTCACTTAAAGATATAGAGCACTAGTACCTTCACCTAACCTTATAATAAGATTCTGTTGCATAGCCAGCTTAGGGAAATACAAAAACATAAATGGATGGCAGTCTCTATTATAAAAACTACTCATATTGGCTTTAATATTAAACTCTTGCTTTAGTATAGCTTCATTGTATTTATGTGTCTTCAGTTTTGACTCTTGTATATTCTGTAACAGATTATGTATGATAATCATATATGATATAGTCACAGAAAACAAAAGGAACCATCTTTTAATCACTTCACGTATACTAAGCAAGGAAATTCTATAGAATGTTCTGTGTTATGCACAAGCGGGTTTCTGTGCTTTTGTCATAGCTTTTTAAGAGGGACAGCCCTTCCTTCAATTATTCAGAAAAAAACACTAACAAAACAAAATAAAACAGAACATGAGAAGCCATATTTTTATATAATGGTGAGATACAAAAAATATATAGTCACTGATTGCCTTTTCGTATTGAATATGTTTTAAAGAAAATATTAAATTTGATATGTTATGGAGTATATTTTTGGAATCTGTTTAGAAAGGATTCAGTTAATCAAACAGGAGAAAGGCCGTGCCTGACAAAGAAAGTAATTAAGAAGTTGTCTTTCCCATTTTAGGTCAAATTCAATTTTATATAGTCCATATATAATATATATTTATAATGTGTAATTTTATGTATTTTACAAACCCACAAACTGGAATCCCACTATCAAGTGATTAAGAATCTAAATAGAATATTCAAATTAGAGAACATGTTTTTTTCCTTTAGCCCCATAATCAGTATTAACCAAATTATATGCAATGCTTTGGAAGTAAATCATATTTGGAAAAGAACTACAGCTTTGTATTTACATTGTACCAAAGGCTGAGGAATGTTTTCTTCAGTAATTTTGTGTGTAGTGTAAAATACTCCTACCATATACTTCAGTAGTTAAGTTTAAAGTTTTTCAACTGCAAAACTATTTTTGACCAGCAGGTGGCAATTCGCTTCAGTATTTTATGTGATTTTTTTTTTTTTTCACTTCATAAGGGAATGTGTATCATAGAAAACCATTTTTTTTATAAAACATGCTATTCTTAATTTTCATGTTGGCAATGACATTTTCAATGATGTTTCTTAAAATTCTGTCTTGTGCCATGATGAATAAAAAGTTGAGCAAAGGCATTGTTCCTTGGTGTTAAAGTCAATGAATGAACTCACATCCCATTCCATACATACAGCACACTATCCACACCTCCCAGTGTAATAAAAAATGGCTCTACTATACACATGCAACTAAGGAGTTGGTAAAATATGATGGCTTGGGGACATCAACCTAGTGACACTGATGAGTTTACAAACTTTATAGTTATTTGTTACAACTGAAGGAAGGCCGTTAGTCACTCATTTGAAACTCAGCTGCCAGTGAGGAAGTGGTTTTGCTATAGGATGGGAATCAGGGTTCTTACCTGCTAGATAGGTATTGCCCAACTGAATTCCTGTAAGTTACATATGCCTATAGGCCTTAGATGCTTAATTTGCTTCAGGGTGGAAATAATGAAGCCTGGAGCAGTATCTACTTTCCTTATTGGGGGAGTGATTCGGATATCTTCAGGCTCTGCCGTTGGATCCAGCACCCCCACCACTGGCTGGGACTCAGGAAGAATTTGCCTATTGGCTTCTGGTTCTTTCTGGCCACCCAGAAACAGCCAAAAATTGTAAGCAAGCCCCAAAGCGAACACTGCTTAATTATGAATCACAGGTTGCTTTTCTGTGCCACCTATTCTCATCCTTCTCCTGCTGTTCCTGTTTCCTAGGCTTTGAATTTGACCATGATCTGGCCAGTTCTTTCCCTCCATTCTGGACCAGACTGGCTGATATACAGGACCCTCTTCCCACCAGTGTCTTGCCCTAACAGCCCTATTTTTTAAAACTTCCAGGCCAAATGGCACTGAGGTTGACATCTGTGTCACTATGCCCATCTGTTAATAGTCAGAACTATGATGGCCAGTCTAGAAAACAGGGCTCAAGCATTTTAAAATGATTAAATTGTGTGTGAATATATATAATGAACAATATTTACTCTTCTTTTCTTTTTGTGTGGTTTAAGCCCAGAGGCTTTAGCTTACTGAGTAAAAGCTAGCTTCTTAGATGCCTTTACCACATGAAAAATAAGCTGTTTTAAAGCACACACACAAGACCCAAGAACATGAGTGGAAACTGAAGTCATTTCTAACACCTTGTAAATTATACAATACCTGACAAGAAAAAAATAAAACTCCAACTATTTCAGGTTGGACAAACCATTTAACAGGCTGTTCAAGTCCCTCATTCCTGTGAGCAGAGATCTTACAAGCAAGAAGACAGCTACAATATGCTGCGGCTGTCTCTGCATCTAGGAATTTTCAATCATTGCTTTGTGTCTCTGGCAATGGGACCAGAACGATGATGGCAGAAATGGCCAAATATGAATTTGTCTTGATCCATCTAAGTAGCTATTAACATACATTTGTTGTGGTTTTTATAAAAAAAATCTCTTATACCAATGGAGTTTTTGCAAATTGAGGAAATTTCTAAATAAGATCAGCTTGCTTCTTTTCTTATGCACATTTTAATACACATCTGCTTGGCAGAAAAACAGCATGAGCATTAAAATAGAAGGAGATGTTAGAACAAAGTCCAGGCCTGCGGTGTATATCGGCTGATAAGCAAACTGAGAAGAAAGGAAATGACTGAAGAAGAGTCACACAGAGATTAAAACAAGACAACATCTTGACTGTACAGAATTTTAAAGCAGGACTAAATCAGCAGCAAATGTTCTTCAAGAGAAAAAAAATACAAACCAAAGGAAAATTCCATTAAAGGTTGGAATTCTTCCCACACAATCAAGGTGACTGATGGTGTCATAGAGATATTGAACTGCAGACAGTGGTCTCTGGGGTGTGGTCCCCTGGCCTGGTATGGCCTACAATTCACCAAGGCACATGCAACACCAGTCCCAACTGAAGGTCTCAGGGTGTCACAGAAAGGTCAGAAGATTCTCTCAATTCAGTCAACGTCAGCCTAGAGGGACCAACTCCTCCCGCTTTGCCCGGGATATCCTGGGCTTATTAATAAAAGCCCCATGACTCTCATTTTCTAGATGTCACAGAGGACTCAGAATGGCATCAAATGAGTAGTTCGTGATCACAGAGCTAGGAGACGGCAGAACCAATATTTGGCAACAGGCCATCCAACTGTGGCAGCCTGCCATCTGGATAATTCGGAACGGAATGAACAAAGCTTTGTGGTCCTTGGAGCTGGGAGCTCTCTCGTGAAGGAAAGGGATTCAGCTGAACCTTCCCCAGGGGAGGGCCCATGCCTGTGGAATGACCACAGCTTCACAGGAGCACTTGGAGGCTCTGCCACCCCCACCCCCTGCCTACTTCCCACTGAGAAAGAGGAATATAAGCTAAAAGTAATAAAGACCCAGAGTAAATCTGATTTCTGGGGAGTTTGGATAGCAAAGCCATGGGATGAGATATGGATACAATTTAGTAATTGAACTTTCCGAGATGAATAATAATTAATAATTTTACCATTCACATATCTATTAATTATAATTAGTTGCACCTAATTATAGTTTAGCATTGTCTTAAGATTTTCCTTTGTTTCAAACAGCTACAACAGCCCCCACTAACTTCCTTGGATAAAGGGATTGGTTGATTCATTCCTCCACTCATCTACCCAACCAATATTTACCAGGGGCTCATGTGCTGGGTTCTGGAGTTACAAGGACAGAGAAGACAATCCAGATCTGCCTTTGAGGACTCCTCAGTTGAGACAATGATCACTCCTGTGACCTGCACCATGAGGATGGCAGCAGATACTGCAAAGTGCCACATGTGGATGCAGCAAATACTTGTATCCCAGTGGCTGGTACCTAGTAGGCAATCTATAAAGCATTGAATAAATAAATCAAAATATGAATCTTTTCTTCCCTCCTACATTCACCCACCCACCCCCATTCCAACCATCCATCCATCCATTCACTTATTTCCTCCTGTATTCTTCTTCCTCTCTGTTTTTCTGCTATATTTTTAATCTTCTTACTTCCCAGTCACCATTTCTCTGGTGTTATCTTTTAATGGGTCTGGTTCTCCTGTCCAGTTCCAAGATTTAAAATGTGTAAATGAATGAAAAGAAGGACAGGATCTTCTGGTGCCCATTTCTTGTTTCCATGTAAACATGGTGCCCACACTTGCTTAGAGGGTGTAAGGGAGGAAAAACCTTCTCCCTACCCTCTTAAGTTCCTCCTTGGGGCCGGCAAATTAAACTGACGAAGACAGCTTAACAGGAGAAAAGGGATTGTTTCATAGGCATAACAGAAGCCAATAAAAAAAAAGTTGCTCCTTAAAATGGTTACAATGAAAGGTTTGTATATCTAACTTAGTAGGGAAAAGAGAGTGGAGGGAAACAGCTTTTTTGAGATAAACAAATAGGTTTATTGAAGAAAGACAAATGGGTTTTAGGAGGACAGATGGGTGATAAGAAAGTGTGTGATAATGTGTGATACAGGTGTGAGTGGTTTTTCTGACTCCTTCTGAACCATAAAACTACCAGAGAGGGGATCTATGGTACCTTCATTTCCCAGAAGCTGCTGCTTTTAGTCAGATAAGGAAGCTCTAAGAAGGCTTTTTTGCTGCATCTGTTGAATCTCAAATGTCTTCAGCTTAAAATAGTCTTTGTGCTGGCTCTGGGGTTCCAAGTGGGTCTCCACAAGGATAAGATGAATTAAAGAAGGAATTAGAAACATGCTTTCTCCAGCAGGAAAGAAATATGGTGAGGTGGGTTGCAGGGCTCAAGGAAAAAAAGGTGAAGGGATTAAAGGAAAAAAACCCACAGGCAGCAGTATGGTGATTGTACAGAGGGAAAGGGGGTTGGGGAGAGGTGGAAGAAGTAAAGGGTGACTAAAAGAGACTTGACTTTGGGTGGTGAGTGCACAATGCCGTATGCAGATGATGTTGGTTGAGTTGTACCCTTGGAACCTATGTGGTCTTATGACCCGAAGTCACCCCAATAAATTTAATTAAAAATGAAAACAAACATAAGGAAAAGAGAGTAGAGTACATAGCATGAAGTAAGTGCTTTATCCCCGATACAAATGGCATGGAATTTTATGTAAGATGTGATGGCTTCACTTCCATTGCAGCAATAAATGTATTATTTCTGTTATGGGGGGGTACAGATGACCGATGCACATTGCTTTTGTTATTGAATCCAGCCAGTGGAGGGGTGTGGCCCTACCTATGCCCCGGTCCAGAGATCCCGAACAGAAAGGGGTTCTAGCATGGAAGATGGCCTTCTCACAAAGGGAAAAATCTTGCAGAGTCCAGGTCAGTTGGCTGTCCCTGGAAAGCAACATGTGTCATCTGCAAAGGATGGCACTGCTTGGCAAGTTGGCATCCTCGTTGTATTCTGGAGGTGACAGATTTGGCAAGAGGGTTAGAAGGCACAATCAGAACCATAACAACTAAATGACAAAGTGAGAGACTAATTCTACAATGCACTACATTAAGAAAGAGTGGCTTCCTTGGAGGAAGATGGGCAAGGCATGTCACACCTGTCTAAAGCTCCTTTGCCCACTACCCTTCGCTGAAGCTGAGGGGAATATTTCTGATATCCCCCCTCCTTTAACACGTCTGGGCCCTTTCTGTTCAAACCCTTGGGGCAGAAAAGGAAAGTAGCTTTAAGTGAAATGGACAGACTGCCCCATTACTTCACCAAGTCAACCACTTAGTCCAGCCAAACTGTTGAGTCCCAGAAAGCTGCAGTGCAGATAGACTTCTTCCTTCCAGTGTATTATTTAGTTCAGATATTGCATTCTTTCTTTCTGACTGGTGCTTTTTTATGGTGTGTATGTCGTTTCACACTGTCGAGTACCCTTATAATCATTACTCTAAACTCTCTATCTGATAAATTGCTTGCCTCCATTTCATGTTCTTCTGGAGAATTCTCTTCTTCTTTCATTTGATGCCTGTTTCTCTGTCTTTTCATTTTGGCTGCCCCTGTGTGTTTGTTTCTATGTAATAGGTAGATCTGCAAGACTCTAGTGCAGACCTAAGTCAAACCCGGCCTGTGAATGGCCCTGGGCAACCTATTTGGAACTCTCAGCGATTCACAGTGTGTGGCTTCCTCTGCTGGGCCTGGGTATGTGCATAAGGAACCAGGCTGTGCACCAAGACCAGTTTTTATCAGCACCAGGCCTGGGGGAGAGTCAGTTGAAGCCTCGGAATTCCCAGCAATCTACTTCTGCCTGCAGGCTTTTTGTAGGGTTAATCAGTGAAAGTCTTCCAGCTGTACTACTCCTTAGTAGCAGGGCTTAAGCTCCACAGGTTGGGTCCGAGTAATCCTGTGGGCGGGGATATTGCTTCCCCTCAGGCCGATGCCGCTTTGGAGCAGAGTGCTCTACTAGAGAAAGATGGCTCCTGCAGTATGGGGAATGAATCAGCGCAGGGATACTGGCAGTTGTTTCTTCAGTTCTCTTCCCAGAGCCACCAAACCCAGACTCTCCTCAAGTGTCTCTAGTTCACTCTTCCCGCTCTCTGCTGGAGCACAGGGTAAGTGGCTACAAACAGAATTTTGTATGTTGGCCCTTTAAAAGGCTGTCTGTGTCTCCAGCTGTCTCTCCCTGGTGGACTGAAACCCTGCTGCTTTTCACAGCCACATGTTATTTGGGTTCCTTTCCCAGTTCTAATAGTGTAGGCTGGGGAGCCCAGCTTGGGGTTTAGACCCCACACTTATCAGAGTGGACCCCCCAATTGCTGAACTATCTCTCTGGACCTTCAGCTGCTACCCATGGGATCCCAGCCAGCTCTCTCACACTTTCTCTGCACTCCCTGCCAGTCTCATTGTGGTGACACGGCTTCTTCCATCTGGCCATTGTTTTAAGGCTTCTCTCCAGCTAGTGTTCCATTGGTTATTCAGGATGATTTCTCTACAACTTAGTTGTAATTTCAGTTTAGTCCTGGGAGGAGGTTAGTGTAGCTTCCACTTACTCCACCGCCTTCTTTGGTATCTCCGCAGATGGGCTTCTAAAGTGAAGCCTATTATGTGTAAATGCTCAGGTAATGAGATCACAGACATACACCCTATGAAAACAGAAGGGAGAACATACAGGTTAATTCACAGCAAATCACAAACCCATCTCTGACTCCGCAAGACTGTCTTTTGAGAGGACATCTAGTTACAAGGCCTTGGCTATAATGACATTAAATAGTGACAATCTGACAAATAATTCTCCTGTATAAGTGGAACATCTCTGGTGACATTGAACTTCCAAGTGAAAACAAAACTTTGAAGACAGCTGCATTAGAGTCCAATGTCCATCACTGAGCATTGTAATTTTCCTTGAAACATGATTTGTCTCCTTAAGATCACCTTCATTGTCCTCAAAATGGACTACATTAAGTCCAATTTTATTTTTTTGCCCGCTCATTTGCATAAACACAACAGAGCAACAACTGATCACATAGGATTTTTAAGTATGCTGTGCTGGAACTCACACGAGGAATTTTCATATTGTCCCTTAGTCTACCCTTCAGGGCCCAGAAGCCAAGCCACACACTTGCCATCAGGCTTTGCCTGCACTTCCTGTGTTCCTCAAGTCCTCAAGTTTCCCATCTTGTCTTAAGGTTTCTCCTTGCCATTGTTCAAGAAAGCGACCTTCATTCTCTCCCTGGAAGGACTGCCATGAACCACATGACCAAACAAAGTACCAGGCCATTTCTCCAGTGGGCTTTTATTAATTTTGAAAGTCACTGTCAGTTCCTCAAGGTTCTCTGGTAACAACCAGAGGCCAGGCATCCCTCCTTCAGTCATGGCATTCCAGTCAAACTCTTGTTTAACAAAACCACCAGTTGCAACTGGTTTTGTTGGCTTTATGCAAGGAAACTTTATGCTGGCACTTACTCATAAATAATGCCAAATTCTGGAGGGATCAGGTAGGGAAAAAACTGGCAAGTGTGAAGGGAAACCCATATCCTTCTAATATCTACCAAAATTCCATCTCCATGCCTTTTATCTTTCATTACTTACTTTCCCACTTAGTGTGAAGTTTTTAACAAACTCTCAGAAACCTCAATTTTATTTCAGAACAGACACAAAGCAAAATCTAAAGCAAAGACAGAGTTTCAAAAAAAAGGGGGGGACTAGAACTAGCCTTAGAATCTTGGGAAGCAAGACTTTTGGGAGGTGATTATGGCATGGGGTGGAACTTCATGACGGGATTAGTGCTCTTATAGAAGCACTTGAGAGCCCCCTGCCCCTTCCAACACTTGAGGACACAAGGAGAAGATGGTCGGCTGTGAACCACAAAGCTGGCTCTCCTTACAACATACCAAGTCTGCCAGCACCTTGATCTTGGACTTCTAGCCTCCACAACTATGAGAAATACGTTCTGTTGTTTATAAGCCACCAGGTTGATGGTATTTGGTAGCAGCCTGAACAGACTAAAACAGTATTTTGTTATTCTTGCTACAGCTGACTTGCTAAAGCTGAGGCCAAGAGATATTAAGATCACACAGCAAGTGAAGGCTTGAGCCTTGACTCTTAGCCAGCCATCTGTCTCCAGGACACACAATCTTTTCTTCTTTTTTATAATTGAGGTATAATTGACAGCATATTAGATTCAGGTGTAAGAAGTAATGATTCAGTATTTGTATATATATTGTGAAATGATCACAATAGGTCTAGTTAACATCTGTTATCTTACAGTTACAATTTTTTTTTCTTTCTTGAGATGAGAACTTTTAAGATCTACTCTTAGGAACTTTCAAATAGGCAACACGGCATTGGTAACTATAATTACTATGCTCTGCATTATATCCCTATGACACATTTGTCTTATAGAGATTTGTACTTTTGACCCTCTTCACAAATTGCCCCCATGCCCTAACCCCAACCTCTTGCAACTACCAATTTTCTCTGTATCTATGAGCTTGGTTTGGGGGGGGCTATATTTTTTAAGATTGCACATATAAGTGAAATCATATGGTATATCTTTCTCTGAATTATTCACTTAGCATAATGCCCTCAAGGTTCATTGATGTTTTAACAAATGGTAAGATTATTTTTAATGGGCAAATAATTCTCTTTATCCACTAATCTGTCAGTGGACACTCAGGTTGTTTCCATATCTTGGCTATTGTAAATAATTCTTCAAGGAATATGGGGGCGCTGGTACCTTCTTGAGGACAAGCATTCTTGGTGACCACACAGCTTCAAGCCTACGAAGGCACAAATGATCCACAGTGCAAGTCCCACAGTCACCATAGAAGTGAGGCACGAAATGTGCTTTAGCTAAGGAAGAATAACTATGGTAGAGGACAAACTATATTGATGACAGTACAGAAACTGGAACTACATGTTCAAAAATACGGATGAGAACTTGCCCACCCTGGATGATAAGGCTGTCTCAATTCTAGTACTTAACCATTTCATTGATAAACTGTCCTGTTTAAGGTAGGGCTGCACTGTTTGCTGTTTTGCATGTCCATGATGATGCCGGGAATGCAAATGGATTTTATTTGGGGAATTACTAGTAATACTCCATGTTATTAACATGCAGTCCCAGTTCACCCCCCTACCTTGTTTGCTAACACTTAGTCCAGTGTACAGTAGTTTGTTCTGATTCTAAATACAGCTGTAAGACTTAACAAAAGACTTAAGTTTCAAACACTGGAGAATATTCAAAATGAATTTCAAGTTATAAGTGAAACCTCCTATCAGAGCAGAGCAGTATTGATCCCTGAATATGATCATGTATAATCTAGACACAGAACAGCTGTGAGAACTAACAGGCTGCAGTCCCTTCCAGGAGTGGTGGGCGTATAAGCTGTTGATCTTGTCATCAGGTTTGCTTGCTAGTTTACTTTAGAGTTTGTTTCTCGATACTAAAGCCCTGTAAAAACGGTGCTGGCCTGTGGCTCACTTTTCAGATTTTGGTTACAACACTGCTTCTCATAATGACTTATCCTGTACTTTTTAAAAATGCCAACAGTAATGATTTTCCTTAGTACAGGCACAGGTTCTTCTATTGTGATTCGCTTTATTGCACTCCATAGCTGTGACTTTTTTTTTTTTTTTTTACAAATTGAAGGCAAGATCCTCTGCCCCAGCAAAAAGATTACAACTCATTTTGTGGTACTTGTTTATTGCAGTGGTCTGGCACTAGGCCCGCAGTGTCTCTGAACTGTGCCTACAAAATGTGATCAGCAGATGAGAAGGTGCCTGCCTCCAGCAGGGAGACAGTGGCATTACTTCTGTGAAGGTCACTGTTGTCTGAAGAAATGATTAAGTGTAATGTTACTCTTAAAGAGATTTTCAAAACCGGTTAACTGTGAGCTTTATTTTAAAATGTACAAATATCTTGAAATGTAGAAGAGCTTAAGGTTGCTGGATTTAAAACAAAGTCCACGCAAAGCTGTCACAATGAATAAATCCATACCAAAGTATTCACTGTAGGTTGCTAATTCCATGTACTCACTTAACAATTCCAGTATTTAGGACAAATGAAAGGAGTTACTATTATCAACTCAAAGAAAGGAAAACCCCAATAGTTACTTATCACATGCTGTTCTAAGAGGAACAACCACTTTATGGATTACTGGTACCAAAAATTTCAATGCCAAACTTAGAGCTCCCTTAAAAAAATCTGAACTGCATTGGGGCTTGGGCTGGGCTGGGAGTAAGACAGAAAACTATACTTGAACAACAATTAAATACATTTAAAAAAATCTGAACGGAGACAGGAAGTTGATGCAAATACTGTCATTTGGGGAAAATACTCTCTGTGAATTCTAATACTCAACGAAATTTGGTCATGTTTTAGAGAGGGTCCATCCCTAACACTGCACCTTGGGCCACACCATCAAGGTTCAGATTAGGCCAACTGAACTTTGGGGCTCAAAAGTGAGCAATGAGACCGGCTTGTTGGGAGCACCTGTTTCTGAACAATGAGAGTTCAAACAAAAATTAAAGTGTTAAAACATATTCTAATGCACATGCACCACCAAATCATGGGAGAATTGAAACTCAGCACACAGCCTACAAGGTCCAGTGTGAAACATTCACGAGGACTTGGAGAACCAAGACACATCTTAGTTCTGCCAAGTGTGTTCCAACATAAACCTTTGCATTTCCTTCAGAGGTCACTACTATATCGGAGGGACTTTAGAAATGCTGGTAACTCTTTCAAAAGCGTAAGTGAACAGCTCTAATTAAAATATTTGACCTGGTAAAAGCTCCTGAGGATCACATGGGTTTTCAGGTCTATATCTCAAGTATTCAACAGAAGACAGTAACAAAAAAAGCAGCTTTCTTCATATTTAAAAAGAAGTGCTGTTTCAGAGGTTGTTCACTTTTCTAGATTAAATACACAGGCAAAACTGCCGTTAAAGGGAAAATGAAGGGACTGCTTCCCACTTAAGTGGAAAGGAAACAAAATGATCCAAAATAAACGGCAAAGTGAAAACAGAACTCTAAAGGGCATGCACATGCTATCCTTCATTCAGTGAAGTATAAGGCCATTCATTACCCACTTGACCTTCCCAGTACAGCATAAGTACCATTCAGTTTGGGGAAAATAGTTTAATGTATCCCTCAGGAAAAAAAATAGTTTATATTTTCCCATCTCTAACAAATCAGTGCTTATGAGGTCCAGCGCCACCAGGCAACCTTCATTCTGTCCCACACCGCCGAAAGAGAATCCATTGCTGGCCGGACATCCAGGATGGTGAACTGGTAGTCCTGGTTGACCTCACCACCATCATAGTAGTCAATGATGTATCTGACTTCCGTCCCACAACGGTTGATGATCCAGTCGTGCCTGTCAAAAGGCAACTCGTACCTGGAGAGAAAACATGCTGGTCAGTGCTCCCACGCTCATGGTGCCTCCAGCTCTGGAAAAGCTTCGAGAAAGGCAGAGAAGCAGCACGTGGTAAGGCCTGCTCTCGGAGTCAAACATCTAGGGGGAGAGTTCACCTCAGAACCACAGCCCACAGCGCCGAAGGAAGGTGGAGCTGAAGGTCGGTGATGAGCTCCAGTCAGACGACAGCCAGTCGTCTACAGAGCAACAAGGTCCACAGCAAAGAGTGGGGCTCTGCCTACGCTGGGAGAAAAGGGAGGAGCCCCAAGTGCAGTCCCAAAGAGGAACGAGAGGACAGCTCAGTTCTATCCTGTGGTCATCAGATAGGAAGCAACCCAGGAAACCCGACTGAATCTGCCAACCACCAGGCGAACTTCCGGGAGAGGAAGAAACCTAGAGCTGAGCCCTGAGTCTCGGAAGATGGCCCTACAGTTCTCAGACTGCCTGGTTTTGGAGCCCAGGGAGAGTGACCCTGACAGGAGTGTCAGTCACCTTTCTGCACCACACTCACCCCATCCAGGAGCGGATTCTTGCCCGTGGTGAGTACTCCTTGGCTTTACCTCCGAACCGGACCAACGAGGGACCACAAGGACACTCCCTAGAAAGCCCCGAATAAGAAAAGTGTATACAAAGATGTTCTTTCCTTTGAAAAATAAGAAGTTGCAGTTTATCCATAATATGCATTTTTCTGTATGCATTTTACAAGTCAAATTTACAAAGAAAGGTGACTTTACAAAAGTCAAAGAAATATCCCTATTCATGAAAAATGAATTCTTGAGTCACTGATCAGCTGTGTTCCCCTCCCTTCGCTTCCTTCCAAGTATCTGCACTGCTCCTCGGAGGCGTCAGGAACCAGGGCCTTTCCGTTTGGTTGTGGGGACACAGGCCTATTCTCAGGGAAAAAAAGAAGGGTGAAGTACTGGGCATCATGCTTCTCTTTCAAACAGAGCAGTGGCTTTTTTTCTTTTTCAGATGAACATAAGAAAATCCTATACTTTTCTTGGATTTGCAACTAATGCAACTAATGAATGGCCTGCATGAAGAACTAATGAATGGCCTGCATGAAGAAATAAAATGGAGGATGAATCCCTAGGAACTAATGTAATTAGTGTCAGTCCAGCTCCTTAAAGCAGTAATTGCACACAAGCAGATGGGTGACCAGGCCCTGCCTACAAAACTGCTCGCTCTCTGCAGAGCCTTGGCGGGGACTTCCTCGGTGCCAGCCAGTCCAGTCCAGTCCCAGGCACAGGGAGCACAGGGGAGCAGCACCACACAAGACCTTCCTGCACTAGCAGAGCTCATGGTCAGCCTTCTCCCCCAGAGAAAGGCCTTTGTGCTAGGTGTCTCCTGATCTTGAGGCCTGCTGTGGACTCAGTAAATGCTACTGAGTGAGCATCTCCCTGGGGGCAGAGAACAATTTAGTCTCCCCTGTCTCACATGCTCTGCTTTCAATGAACTCTCACATTCCTGTTGAGAGGTGGGGGTCTCTGACCCCGCCCCTTGAATCTGGAAGGCTGGTGACACTCTGGGGCTTCCGAAGCTAGGCCATCAAAGGAGATGCAGCTTCTACCAGGAGCTTTTTGGAACCCCAAGTCTGGGAACTCAGACACCACAGTGTGAGGAAGCCAAAGCAGCCACATTTACAGGCTATGGGCAGGTGTCATGGCCAACAGCCGGTATCACTCACCAGACAAGCAAGTGGAGCCATCAGAGGATTCCAGCCCACAACTGTCAAGCCAACCCTGACCACTGGAGCGGGTGAGGCCCCAGACACCAGGGAGTAGAGATGAGCCATCCCTACTCCCCACTTTCTGCACTCGGGACCCACCGACTCCATGAGCATAATGACATCGTTGCCGTTCTCCATGGCTGCGTGGGGCTGGTCTGCCACATGACAGTCACTGGAACAGACCTGCTATCTAAAGTGTTTTATTAAAATGACACATCTGAATAAATGTTAAAACTCCAGAAAATAGACATAAACTAAGAGGCTGGAGGGATTTTTTGTAAAGATCTCAAACATACTTACGCAGCATGAAGGGCTTCCCACTTCAAAATCTCCTTCCAAGCCTGCTCGTTGTTCTGATTGTGGATTCTAATGATATTGTACATGTCTTTCTGACTGATGTCGTCATCCTTCCACTTCCACCTAGGAAAGACCGGTCAGTGGGATTGGACAAACCTCCTGGTGTCTGTGTGGACACACGTGTCCTGTTAGTTCTGTTTCTCTGTAGACTCCTGAGTAAACTACAGTGGCTTTGCGGTTACGCTCCGGTAAGTCTGAGAATTATTCTAAACAAATTAACTCTTTAACTAAAAACTTACTGTATGTTTGGGGGATAAAAACCTCTTTTGCATCTGTTCTTAGATGAACGTGACAAGTTTATGTTCTCAGCCACTCGCTCCCTCACTTACCCTTTCTTTAACATTGCGTTCCAGAACATCTGTTCAGAAGGGTAAACCCACTTTTTCTCAGAATCTGCTCTTGGAATGGATGACTCCTCTCTCGCAGTAGAGAGTGGAAATGGCTGATCAGGGGCCGGTGTCTGGTTAGGTGGTGGCATCTAAATAAAATAAACGGGATATTTTTTAAAGACTGTAAATGTGTTCTCAAGTAGAAACAAGCAATATAATTAACTACTTCTGCGGAAGCAGCACGTCACACATGTGACACAGACTCTCTTTTAAAGCACTGCCGTCGAAGTTTCGGACGGCTCAGATCACGTGGCTGTCTTGAAGAGTCGGAGTACTGAGGTGGTTTTTCCTCGTTGTCCAAGTTCTACACAATCAATCAACCTTGTGGTTATATTTTTGGTCTCCTTTTCCTCAAGGACTAAGAAGCAAAGACAAACACGTACCACAGTCTGTAGGCACCTCTACAATATACGTACACCACCGCTTCCTATTGCAAAATCTGTTACTTTCAGGATCTTGCTTATGCTTTCAGCTTTGGGGCTGAAGACATTATGGATGAGAGGTACCAGCCCTACACCAGCAGACTTCAGGGAGGGGCACAATGCTTTCTCCCAGACACAGAGGCAGTGGTACCATTATGCAAAAACTTAGCCTGGCCCGGGGTTTCTCACTCTTGGCGGTATTGCCATTTAAGCTGGACAACACCTGGTTATCAGGCTCTGTTTGAGCACTGCAGGATATTTAGCAACATGCCTGACCTCTACCCAATGGCACCCCTCTTCCACACTTATGACAACCGATGTCCCCCAAGGGGGCAAAACTGCCCAGGTTGAGAACGACTGGCCTAGAACTCCTTTTTGTAGTGAAAGTATGAAGCATTTCCAAGCAGGCGTACATAAATTATGATGTCACAACATGACCCCTGGTTAGAAAGATGGCAGAAGAGCTGGGTGTGCTGGTCCCAAATTGAGCATTTTACTGCATTTTCACCAAAGCGGGTTTACGAACATAGGTCAGAAGCAGGTGGGAATTCAGGTGGGAAGTGGCTCTGCCACTTCATATGAATGATGTGGGGCAAACAGCTTCCTCTCTCACTTTTGGCATCGTCAGCTCTAAAATGGGGACATGAAGACACCTGACTGCATAGAGTTGTTATGAGGATTACAGGAGAGAGCGTATGGTGCTCAGCATCCTCCAAAAGATGTGAGCAAAAAAAAAAAAATTAACAAAAAATTTTGCTGTTTTCAATATTCTTACTACATGTCAGAATCCCATGGGGTTAGAGGCAAGGTCTGCAGGATTCCAAAGGCTCATGTTCTGAACCACTAGGGCATTTGAGATGATCTAGACCAGTGATCTAACGGGTGCTTTTGGAAATGTCTGCAGATGTTTTTGTTTGTTACAACTGAGCAAAGAAGGAGCTACTGGCATCTAGTGGGTGGTGACCAGGGATACTGCTAAATGTCCCACAGTACACAGGGTAGCACCCTCTGCAAGGAATCATCTAGCCCCAGGTGTCACTAGTGGCATTGGCGGGAAACCCGGGTCTACTCCACCTTCTTCCTCAACACAGTGGTCTCCTTATAGTTTTGTGGGGTCATTACTGAATGCCATGGAGGAAATGTCCGTGCCTCTGCCTGCAACACTCACCGAATCAGCCAGCACCTTGATGCTGGATTTCCCAGCCTCCAGAACTGTGAGAAATAAATGTCTGTTGTTGGTAAGCCACCTTGAACTAGTTCATGGCACTGTTACATATGTTACGCTATATTACATATTGCTGTATATATACCTTCCATGCCTTTTCGTTTCCAGACTAAATATCTCTAGTTTCCTGAAAGGTTGCCTGGTTTTGCCAAGATTTCTAAATACTTTTTGAGAATCCTGTGGCCTTCTAAACAACAGGCCTCAGTCTCTCTGTCTCTCCATTAAAATCGATTCCAAACATGAAACCTCAATTCCCTGTGTGGTCTGACTATCACAAAACGGAGTGAGGCCGTGCTTGTCCTGTCCCTGTTCTCTCAACGGCATACCACTGCTGGCTGCCACGTGACGCTGAGCCACCCTGGTGACTCACGTGCAGGCTGGCTCCCAGCTATTCCCTCACAGGCCCCCAAGTCTTACAGTGTACCTTCAAGGTTCCCCCAGACCAGAAACACCTTTACTAACTCTAGTTGCACTCCTAATGGAATGTCCCTTCTACTCTCCCAAGAGGAGATATTCTCTCGGGATGGCCTATCTGCAGTCTACCCACTCTGGTACTTCATGATCACCATTTTCTTTCTCTTCATAACACATTCAAGATTTTCCCTGTGTATGGACTATCAGATTTCTTTGTTTTAAAAGAACAAAAGAATAAACCCTAGCAGTGTGCAGTTTGTCTTGGAATTCTATAAAACCATGCCTGTGTACAAAGTTCCAGGAAGAGGGGCTGAGTGCAGATTACCAGATTAGAAGGGTCTAGGTTCTCCTTATTCCCAGCTGCAGCACCTGTAACAGGACACTCCACATACTCATATGCACGTTCTTGGTGGGCAGGCTCAGAGCAGGTTTTGCTCTCATTGGTTGGCTGTGCACTCACTGGACAACCTGAAATAAATCAAATATAAATACGGTGTCACCACAAAGGCAGGACATCTGGCTCCCTCACCCTGGGCCCTAAAGAGCTGAGTTTCTGACCAGCAATGACCGCAAGCAAAGCCAGGTGTGTTCTGCTGAAAGCAGCCAAAAGCTAAGCTAGCTAATCTTCTAATATCCTAAACGTCAGGAGAAGGTTCTATACACTTTCTTTCCCTTTGAAAGACAAACCAGTGCCCCTTTCTCTTATTGCACCATGCCCCTAGCAAAAATACCTCCCAAAGAACTCAACATTTGCAAGGGAATGCCATGGTTTTAGTAGTGGACTAGAAGGTACCTTCCTGGTCTCGCAGCTGTGAGCTGCTACAGAGGAACCTAAGTGGGGGCCGGGCCACATTTCACCTATCTCTCCCTGACTCTCTAGTCCCAAGTTCCAGACAAGGCCCAGCCCCAAACAGGGCACAGGAGATGAAAATGAGCAGAGGAACCCTCAAAAAGACTTCTGGAGAAAAGTCTCAATGCACTCTGCCTGCGCTCTGCCCTAGGACTAAAACAAAGCACAGAAAGCTACCACTTGGCAGAGGTTCTAGTCCCCATCAGAAGATAGCCAAGCATTTAGGAAGAAAAGGCAGACATTAGAGAACACACTCCATAACCATGTAGGATCCAATGACACTTAGGATCCAGATGCCAGCATCTCCAGATACTGAGAGCAGCAGCAGGAAGGGCAGTCAACGCCCAAGGATACTGGGTACTGATGGAAGCAAGTGTGGGGACTGAGAAGCTGGTCTATGGCTTAGGAGAGGGGGCAAGTGTCGGGTGAGCTACAGCCCAGGAAGACACCTGTGCGTGTAACAAAATCCCTGTCAGAGGCAACAGCAGTAACAGCGGGAATACACTGGATGCTGGATGTCCCCCACAAAAAAGGACAAGTTTCCTTTCACCTGCCTTTCCTCTGCTTCTCCTTCCAGACCCATATTCCACTTGAGGAGTGAAGGCAGACTGGCTATACCTCCTCTCCTTTCTACCACTCCCAGTGTCAATCTTTTTTGGGTCACTGATCCCAGCTGGGTGTTAATAAAAAATACTGTTTATATTTTTCATGTTATATAACCCCCAGCCCCTTCAATGTCCTACAACTACCTACAACCTTTACTAATGAAAATAAATCCGACTGACAGCTCTTCTGGATACACTGCAAATGAAATCAAACTGATAGAGCTGTGATCTCCCTGGGGATGCTCAGGACAGAAGCACACTCCACCTGTGTCAATCCACCCTGTTCGGAGAAACTCTGCAAGAAAGCTGGATCTGTCCTTGTCCAAGGTCACGGAGTTTTTGCTGGCCTTGCTACTTATGAGCTGCGTGGGCTCTAAGTTTCCTTAACTATAATACAGGGAGAAAACCCACCATGCACGGTTATGAGGAGGAAAATGTCAATTCCATCGGGAAAGGGCATTTCTGTTTTATACATTGCTGTCCTCTTGGTGCTAACACAAATAAGCAAGACCCACCAGTGCTCAGCACAGAGTGGGCAGTGATGAAGTCCTTGCTGACTGACCAGAGGAATGAAGTGCTAGCACTCAATAAGCAGGCCATGTTGATTCCACCCCTCATGTCTTGAAACAAGAAGTCATACATCAGGCTGATTTAGGCTTGCTTTTAAAAAAGTTTTTATTTTATTTTAATTGTTGTTCAAGTACAGTTTTCTGCCTTTTACTCCCATATTTGCCGATGATACCTCAGACAAGGGTTAAACTCCAAAATATATAAAGAACTCACACGACTCCACTCTAAGAAGACAAGCAACCCAATTAAAAAATGGGCAAAGGACTTGAACAGACACTTCTCCAAGGAGGACATACAGAGGATCCAGAGACATATGAATAGATGCTCAGCATCACTAGCTATCAGAGAGATGCAAATTAAAATCACAATGAGATACCACTTCAGGCTTGCTTTATATAAACAATCTTTCCATTTGCACCTAAAGAATGAACAGCAAGTCCATCAGGCAATAACTTATTTTTACATAGATGAATACTGCCACAATATAGCAGTAAAGTTGTCTAGATAAATAAAGACAACTAGATTTAGAGCCAGGTTTCTCAAACACAGCCCTCTTGACATTTGGGGCCAGGTGAGTTTTCGATTGGGGGTTGTCCTGTGCACTGTAGGTTGTTTAGCAGAACTGCTGGCTTCTACTCACTAGATGTACCCACTCCTCTCGGTTGTAAAAAGCAAAAATGTCTCCAGACATTTCCCTGGGGGGAGAGGGAATCACCCCCCAAGTTGAGAACCACTGGTGGAGACACAGGAAACTTTGGGGATGGGGTTGATGTGTGGAACAAACACCACACCCTCACACATTATCTCAGTTAATCGTCATAATAAGCCTGTGAAGTAGCATTACCCTCATCTTACAGACGACAGGTGGAGAAGTAACTTGTCTACAATCATATAACCTGTAAGTAGCAACATAAGGACCCAACCCAGGCTGCCTCACTCCCAGGCCTAGGAGCCTCACTGGCATGCTGTACTGCCTCTTCCCCAAAATCCTTTTGAGGATTCTCTTTTGTTTTTATATTCTAGACAAAGAGTCGAGTACCTTTCATTTTCCCTTCATGCATCGGACACCCTGAAGGCGGGGATGTCGTCTGGTGATCTGAAGCACTTGAGGTCTGGACTGCAGCAGCAGGGGTAGATGTAGACAAACCCATGGTCGGAACCGCAGTGTTGAACCCCAGCAATTCTAAATTCACACGTGTCAAAGCAGAGACAGACTGATGCTGATGCGCGGGTTTGACTACTCCCTTAGACAGGGGAAGGAAGGGAGAAAGAGAGGGAGAGAAACATCAATGTGTGGTCGACTCTCACGCGCTCCCTACTGGGGACTCAGCCCCCAACCCAGGCATGTGCCCTGACTGGGAATCGAACTAATGACCATTCAGTTTGCAGGCCGGCGCTCAATACACTGAGCCACACCAGCCAGGGCTCCCTGGGAATTCTTAATCTGGCCAACCCTTGTTATTCCTGCTTGTTATCCTTACGGGGCACTTACAGGGCAGGGTACACTTCAGCGACAGCTTTAATATATCACCGCCTCTGGGAATTACTAGTGTGACATGTACACCAGCCTTTGGGGAAATGTTTCTAACGGTGCATGGATTCTGAGGGTGAGGTGAGGTGGCCGCTGAGAAACCACGTCACAGTAAGGCGGTTAGACCGGGAGACGAGGGTCCTAGGCGCCGATCGCATGGGAGAGAGGTCCACAGTACAGACTAGACCCCCGGCCCTAGGGCTTAGCGGGGGTTTGCGGGTCTGGGAAAAGTACCGCGCAGAAAAGGGATGTGGGGAAGGAAAGGACGGCAGAGGGCAAGGCGCAAACAGTCCTCCTCACACGGTGCCCCTTACTTCCACCCGCTCCAGTCCCTGGACTCCAGATCCCCACTGGCCTCAGCGAGCCCGCTCCCCCTCACCTGACTTTCCTCCGGGCTGCTCCGTGCGGCCGGCCCCGCCTCTCACTCCCAACTCTGGCCTGGAGCGTTAGCGCCCCGCCACCGCCTTTCCCTCACTCGGTCACCGCCGCCTCGGTCACGGCCGGCAACGGCTCGCGCCGCAACTTCCTTTTCTGAAGGCGGGACTTCCGTGTGTGCGGTAGTCGAAGCGCGAGCTGAGGAGAAAGAGCTTCCGTCAATCACAAAGAAGATCGTTGGCCCCTTCCAGCCTCGGCCTATGAGTGCGCGCGCATGGTTCTGGTCCCGCCCCTCCTAGCCACGCGCTTTTCCGCTGGGGCGGAGCCCGCCGGCTGAATTTAGCCCGCGCCAGAGATTTCCTTAGAGTCTTCCACTTATAGGTGCTTTAAATGCAGAGGAGTTGCTTTGGTTTTAAACAGTTCTGGCTTTTAAGTTGCATCTCATCAGTTTTAATCATAGTAATGACTCAAAAAACCTCAGTAGGTGTCTAGAACTGTGGCGGACCCTGGAGATCCAAAGATGAACACAAGATTCCCCCTCCCCAAGTCTTCTTAACTGGGGGTGTGCACTTGAAGGTCTGTATTTTTACTTAACTATAACAAATTTAGTGTCTCTTTTTTTCCATCAGGGATGCAGGCAACAAATCTTAGTAGTCTTAGCCATATGTGGCATAATAGAACTTACAGAGAAATGATGTCACATGAGTGTTTTTGCCTCAAAATACGAGTCATCACTACTTTGACATTAAGATAATTTTATCTTGTCGCCTAAAAAGAGTTAATAAGAAGCACATGCCTTTCTGCATCACTGCAGTAAACCTGTGAAATACTCTCAGGTGCCCCATTAGGGCCAGGCAGTCCATCCCCAGGGGTGCTGGGAGTGTTGGCCAAGGACAGTTCGAGGCTGAGGCTGTCTCCAGGATTTGCCCTCAGTTTAAGAGACCTGCCTCAGACAAAATCACATTCTCTCCCTTTGGCAGGTTGCAGCCGATGAGTGGTCTCTGCAAGGGTACGTAAGCACAGGCCCCTGGCCTCAAGGAAGACAATAGCCTCAAGGCCCCTAGCCTCAGAAGGGCCATCCCAGCTTCAGAGCTGCTCAGAGAGGATCAGCTGAAGCTTCCATCGCTACTGCATGGCAATTCTTTTACCCAGTCCTTCCATCACTTTCTTGCAGCTGTTCAGGAGAGCACACCTATGTGCAAATCTTTTAATAAGTTCAATTATTTAGGTTTGTTAAGGCCAGCAGATTGGAAAACGACTGCCATTCAAAAGCACAGATTCCAAGGAGTACACATCACAGCCCAGGCGGCCACACCCACCAGGAAGCACTGGGGTCCATCAGTGGGCAGAGGGAAGGGGAGACTGCGGGCAACAGTATTATGGTTTCCATGGGAAGGAATAGGTGAGATAGGGTAAGCAGGTTTAGCGTTGGCTAATATGAATCACTGTCAGCAGGCTCCGGAGTAGAGTACAGGGGCTGTCCCCAGTTGTCTTGTACCTGTCCCAGAGGCAATTGGGGCAGGTGTGTAGTGGTCCCGATTGTGAGAACCCAATAGGGGAAGTGGTTGGGGGTGTGTACCAGCTGCTCAAGAAGAGGGAGCTGATCAGTCTCCTGCCAGGGCCTCAAACATAAAGACAGCATTTAAAATACTATGATATATTAAGTCACTACACATTTCCTGGGGAACCTGGCCTTCAACAGTTAAAATCTGTTTTTTAAAAAATGTTGATAAGTATATTTCAGTACAATTGGTTTCTTTTGTAAATTCTTGTATTTTGTTTCCTGTGTGTAAAAATATTATTCTGGACAGATAGAAACTTCAGTAGACTCCTAAGAGGAATATGACACAAAAAGGGCAAAAAGTTTTAGTAATGGTTGAAACAGTCATGCAATTTACATGTCAACATGTGGACTTGTAGACTATCCTACAGCAAAAAGGAAGCATTGGCTATTGTGAGCGTGGTGTGCATGTACTGGATAGAAAGGGAAAGAGTAAGTACCAAGAATGTTTTACTTACAGATAGAGAAGAAACTACTAACGCCGAGTGTTAAAGGAAGAGATGTCAGTGCCTCAGACTGGCGGGATGCCTTCTACCCATTTCCCTTCTTGGCAGGCGGTGCTATTTAACTGTTTCTTCTCATTTCTCAATCCATGTTCCAAGAAATATGCGCACAGATGCACATTTCCAGTAGTTACACAATTCGGGGGAAAATGTGGCTTAATATTTACATTATTATGCCTATGAAACTATTCATAATGATTTATGATAAAATTTTACTCGTGCAACTTTTTCACTAGATTTTAATATTTACCTGGTTCTTCCCCTTTGATTTTTAATTTTTATCCTTAAATTTCCTGTCGGCATAGTAAATCTCCTTTCATTGCACTCAAAGATATCAACTACTCTATATGTCTCATTTTTCCCCTTGAAACCTTACTCTTACATAAGCACCTCACCTCCGTCACTGCCCAATTCTAGACTGTTTGGAAATGACTTCTGCCAGTTGTCTTCCTGAGATTGCCTTTCATATGTTTCCTCCGTATGTTGGATCTCTAGTTCTTGGGTACCCTGTATTCTTCTTTGCATTGTTTCGGGAGCATATCAGTTTTGGAGGTTTTGAAAATCAGAAAATGTTGGTGCTATACCCTCCCACCTGATTGGTAGTTTGGATATATAATTCTATGTTTAGAAATATTTCTCTCAGAATTACTAAGTGGTTGCTTCGTTGTCTTCTGGTTCCCACTGTTGAGGTTAAGAAGTCAAATGTCATTTCTTTCCCCTGCTTTCTCAATATTTTAAACATCTCTTTCTTCCAGTGGCCCGAGAAAGTGTGCCTTGACATAGACCTGTTTGCTTTCATTGGCTTGGCACTAGATGGGACCATGCATTCTGGAAACCTATGGGCTTCATGTGGGGATATGTCCTAGTATTATTGATTTTCTGGATAATGTGCTTTCCTCTGCATTTCATTTACTTGCTCTTTCTGAGAACTTCTATTACCCTTATGAAGCATTCCTGCGCTGAAACTAATTACCTCACATTTTTCTCTTATTTTCCATCACTTTTTCATTTTTTTCTATTAGGAATTTGAAAAATCCACATGATGTCATTCACTTTATTTTTTCTATTATGTTTGGAATTTCCCAAACATGTGCATATGTATTTGTATGTATGTGTGCACATGCACGTGTATTTGTGTGTGTATGTGTGTACACATGATCATATACAAGGCAGTGATGTGGGTTTTCCAATCCATGGCGATGAGATATGAACTGCTGCTGTCACACCCAAGGGTTTAGCAGAGGTGGAAAAATTGAAGCTGTTTTGGAGTTACAAACTGAATTTATGACTATTCCTGGTAAAATGAGTCTCCTTTCCAAAGCTACAGTTGCTTATGTTTGTAATGTGCTACTTTTGCATTTCTCAGCACTCCCAGAATTTCCTGTCTCTTGTACAATTCTCTTTTCATTTCCATAAGTCTGTTTCTCCTATAATTCCTCAACTCTCCCACAATTCTCCATTATCTCTCACAGTTCTCTGCTGTCTCATCATAATCTGCTCTGTTTAACAATTTCCCAGTTTCTACCACATTTCTCTGTTCTTCCCCACAATTCCTCCCCTGCCATAATGCTCTAGTTCTCTAATAATTCCTTGTATTTTTCACAATTCTTAATTCTCTCCACAAATACCCCATTATCTCACACAAATATATTCTCCCATACTACTGTCTTCCCTTTCACAATTCATTGTTCTGTCACAATTCTGGTTTTTTCCCTACAGTTGTGTTCTCTTTTACAATTTCTGTGTTTTTAACCACAATTATGTATCTCCCATGATCCCATTCTCTCCAACAAATGTCCATATCTCCCACAGTTCACCATTCTCTCCCATAATTCTCCTTTCTTACCCACAGTTCTATATCTCTATCACAATTCCCAGTTAGTCACACAATTCTCTCTCCCTCCTACAGTGCTCCATTCCCTCCCATAATTCTCTGTTCTCTCCTACAATTCTGTTTTTTCCTACAAGTCTCTGCTTCTCCCACAATTCTGCTTTCTCCCATAATTCTCTGCTTCTCCCAGTAGTTTCCCTTCACTCACATAATCCATTCTCTCCCATAGCTGTCTGTTTCTCCCATGATTCTCCACTCTCCTATAATTCCCACTCTATCCCATAATACTGTTCTTTCCCACTGTTCTCTGCTTCTCTCATAATTCTGTGCTCTCTCCCATAATCCCACTCTCTCCCCATAGTTATCTGCTTCTTCCATAATTCCCTGTTCTCTTCTACAATTCTATTTTCTCCCATAAGTCTCTGCTTCTCCCATAATTCTCCATTCTCACCCATAATCCCATTCTCTGCTATAATTCTGTGCTCCCACAATTTTCTGTTTCTCCCACAATTCCCTGTTCTGTCCTATAGTTCTGTTTTTCCTATAATCCCACTATCTCCCATAATTCTCCATTTTCTTCCATAATGCCTTTGTCACTCCTAGAGTTCTCTGCTTTTCCCACAATCCTTCATTCTCTCCCATAATCCAGTTCTATCCCACAGTTCTCTGTTTCTCCCATAGTTCTCTGTTTTCTTATAATCCCATTTTCTTCATAATTCTCTGCTTTTCCCACAATTCTCCATTTTCTCCCATAATTTGCATTCTGTCCTATAGTTTCCTGCTTCTCCCATATATCTCCTTTTCTCCCACAATTTTGTTCTTTCCTGTAATTCTCTGGTCTCTCCCATAATTCCTTCCCTCAACTCTCTGTTTTTCCCACAATTTCATATTCTCTTCCACAATTCCATTTTCTTCTATAATTCCCAATCTCTCCCACAATCCTCTGTTCTTTCCCCCAATTCTTTCTTCTCTCACAATTCTCTCTCTCTCACAGTTCTCTGTTCTTTTTAACAATTGTCTGTCTCCCCCACATTTTCTTGTTTTCTCATTTTTCCATTTTTTCTACAATTTGGTATTCTCTCCCACAATTCTCTGTACTTATCACAATTCTGTTCTCTTCCACAGTACTCCATTTCTCCCACAATTCCAGTGGTTATTGGATTTGTCATTCACCTTTTAAAGTATAAACAACAGTCAAGGACCTTCCAACATGATTTTTTGATGGGGACGACACAGTAGGCTATAGTTGTTTGAAACTGCCATCTTACTGTACAAACAGAAAACCAAGATAGAGAAGGTAAGACAGCAAGTAAAGGGCTGCTGATTTGAGAAATCCATAGGTTTAGGGACAAGATGAGTTCAGTGTTAGGCATAATGCTGTTGTGATGACGGTGGTTATCTAGGCAGTAAAATCCAAGAAACAGTTCAGAATGGGGAACTGAAACTCAGGAAAGTGGGAGCTGATTGCAAGTAAAGAAATGTAAATCACCAGGTATGGTTGAACATTAAAGCCACAAATATGAATGGTGATATCCTTCAAGGTTTGTTTTGTTTGTTTTGCTGTTTTCTCATATTTACCAAAGAATCTTTTGCCTTCAGTTGGGCTTTTGTACTAGGAAGAGAATGCTTGACTAGTCAACCTAAATAAATGTATTCCTGTCTCTTTGGCAGTTTTATTTCTTGTAAGTAGTGTGAATTAATAAACTGGAGAGAACAGAAGTAAAAATGGACGAAAAGTCAAGAAGGTGAGGTATGAGTGGCTGAAGAAGGAAGGGAAGGTTCTTTTGAGTGGTTTGGACTCATTCTAAAGTGGGATTGAAGAATTAAAGTCACAAAAAGAAAAAAGCCTGACAAACCATTCTCTGCCACCACCACACCAAACACAGTTTTTCAAGAAATATGCTTTGAGGATATTAAAATTTATATTTTAACTCTTGAATCCTAGTAGGTACAGATGTTTGTGGTATTATTTTATTTCATGGTCTCCTTATGCAGTAAAAAACAAAGATATGCAGATTCTAAATGCAGAGTTATTGGTACAAATATTTAAAATATGTAATCAGATTGTAGCAAAGGTTTACAGTTTTCCTCTTTCTCTCATACACACACAATCCAGCAATGGCAGTATAAAGCTTTATATTCAAAGAATTCAATTGTGAATTATAAAACATTCTTAACATAAATGCTAAAATATGTTACTCTTGCCTCTCTGTTTCGGGGGCTTTCTCCTAATTTGCTCAAGGTTCCTCTTTAGTTGTGCCTCCCTTGATGTTACATCAGAAGCCGAAGTAGCCATGTTAGTGGGCAGCGCCTGGGGTTATCTGAGAAGTGTTCTTTTGTCTCCAAATCTCTTACTAAATTCATCGGTCAGTGTTCTCCAAAGAAACAGAAACAATAAGAGATTGATCCATCTATCTCTCTATCTATCTATCAACCAATCAAGACACTTATTTTAAAGAACTGGTCTATACAGTTGTGGGAACGGCCAGTCTCCAATCTGAAGGGCAGGCTGTCAGGCAAACATTTACTGAGTCTGCATATGGAGCCAGCTTCAGATGCCATGGGGCGGGGCATGTTTCCTGCTGCCTTACCAGTACTCTTGGTAGTGAGACAGGTGTGCCTTCAGGGGATTTCATTTATTATGGCTAATTTATAAAGTTACTGTGGGAGTATAAAGAAAATGTAATTATCCATGGCCTCTGTAGGCGATGCCAGTGCTGCTGGGCCAAGGTCCACACTTTGGAGGGTAAGGCTTTAGAGCACCCTAGGTGTTGTCCGTAGGCAAAAGCACAGAGGTCAAGAGTAAGCACTTAGAAACTTTGATAGCAGTTTTAAAAAGGGTGGGAGGTGGGGGTGGGTGGGGTGGTGGAAAGTGGTGGTGGGCAAATGGAGACAACTTTATTTGAACATTAATAAAAAATGACTAACAAAATAAGAGTGATTTTAAATCTGATGAATTGGATAATAAAGAAACTCAGCTTGCACAGGATGGCTATCATAAACAAAACAACAAACAACAAATGTTGGAGAGGTTGTGGGGAAAAGAGGTCCTTAGTTCACTGTTGGTGGGATTGCAGACTGGTACAATCATTATGGAAAACAAACAGTATGGAATTTTCTCAGAAAAATAAAAATCGACCTGCCTTTTGACCCAGCAATTCCACTGCTGGGATTATATCCTAAGAATCCTAAAACATCAATGTCAAAGAACCTATGCACCACAATGTTCATAGCAGCACAATTTACAATAGCCAAGAGTTGGAAGCAACCTAGGTGCCCATCAGTAAATGAATGGATCAAAAAATTGTGGTACATATACACAATGGAATTCTATGCAGCAGAGAGAAAGAAGGAGCTACTACCCTTTGCAACAACATGGATGGAACTGGAGAGCATTATGCTGAGTGAAATAGGCCAGGTGTTGAAAGACAAATACCATATGATCTCACCTTTAACAGGAAGCTAAAGAACAAAACAAACAAGCAAGCAGAATAAAAACAAAGACACTGAAATAGAGAACAGGTTGACAGTGACCAGAGGGGAGAGGGAAGGGAATTTAAGGGGAAAGGGGGAGGGATTTGGAGGAACAAGTATGAAGGACACAGGGACGAGAACTAAGGGGGGGTGGAAATGGGAGGGAGGTAGGGAGCACGGGGCGGGGCGGGCTGGGGTGGGAGAAATAGACAGAAAACTGTACTTGGAAAATAAGTAAATAAAAATTAAAAAAAAGAAATTCGGCTTGCATTTTGTTTCCTCTTTATTTAATTCTATCAGTAATTTTTCTTTTTTTAAATTTATTTTTCTAGACAGAAGGGAAGGAAGGGAAAAAGAGAGGGAAGGAAACATCAATGTGTGGTTGCCTCTTATGTGGCCCCCACTAAGGACCTGGCCCACAACCCAGGCGTGTGCCCCTGACCAGGAATCGAACCGGTGACACTTTGGTTTGCAGACAGGCACTCAATCCACTGAGCCACACCAGCCAGGGCTATTAGTAATTTTTCTTGCTTTTTTGTATGGAAAATATTGGTCTGTGATTGATTACAAATTTAAAAAAATCTAGTTATTCGCTACAGATAGTTCAAAAGCCCTACTTTAAAGTACCTCATAGTGAGAGAGGATTGCTTATCTCTCCTCTCATGTGGAAGCAAGAGTATTTGTCTAAAGTTTTCAGTTACCCCAGGTGAATTCAGCTTTATAATAGATTTACTGAATCAACGAGATGAGTATGACTATTCTATTATTTACAATAATAATGTAATCAGCCCCTAAGTTTATTTTTTTATTTTTTAAAAGATTTTATTTATTTAGTTTTAGAGGGGAAAGGAAGGAAAGAGGGAGAGAAATATCAATGTATGGTTGCCTCTCTTGTGTCCCCCACTGGGAACTGGCCTGCAACCCAGGCATGTGCCTTGACTGGGAATCAAACCGTGATCCTTTGGTTCATAGGCCCGCACTCAATCCACTGTGCTATACCAGCCAGGGTGTACCTTTATTTAAGTAATAATTTCAATAATAATGTACTCGATTTATTTTGTAAAGTTGCTTTATGATTGCTCAAATTGTCCTTACACTTTATTTTCTTGCCTTTTGCAGCACCGTAGCGCTGAGCATTGAGCCCCCGGAGGTGCTGCCCCTGTGTGCTTTGAGAATCACCTACAAGGGCCGCTCTGCCCCAGTACACTCAGCCTCAGGTGAGTCTGCTATGATGCTGGTAATTCTAACACTGGAAAGTGACTGCTGAAATGCCGGTGTGCCAGTACTCCTTGAGAAACATCATGAAGTATACATTTTATTGTGTCAGGTAAAATGGAAACCATAGATTACAGATTATGCTAGCAGTTAACTATATAAAAGAAAGTCCAGCCCTGGCTGGTGTAGCCCAGTGGACTGAGCGCAGACCTACAAAGCAAAGGATCATGGTTCGATTCCCAGTCAGGGCACATACGTGCCTGGGTTGCAGGCCAGTTCCCGGTGGGGGACACACAAGGGGCAACCATACATTGATATTTCTCTCCTTCTCTCCTTCCCTTCCCCTCTAAAGGTAAATAAATTTTAAAATTAAAAAAAAAAAGAAAGTCCAGTTTCTGGGAACTCCTTTTAATTTTTATTTTTATTTTGGTGGCTGTATGTTCATATGTTTTGTTCTGTGTGAGCCCTCAACAATATGTATGTTCTGTGTGGTGGAAGAAGGGTTAAAATTAAGAATATTCTATCTGTTCATTTAAAGACTTCCTGAAAATTTGGTGTGGGGGGGCTACTATTTTATTTTCACAGGGAACATCAGTCTGGCCCCCAAAGTACGATAGGAAAGCATGGTGAAAACTGTCGGTTTCAACCTTTAACTAGATTACATTTGTTTCCTGAAAGTTATATCACTTAAATCAAACTTCAGAAGCATGGTTTGGATGTTCCTTAAGGAGGACAAATGAGTGTTCCATTGTTGGCGGTGTTTACTGAAGAGAATACTGGGTCCTTATAAAATAATTCTTTTCTCTGCCTTTCTTTCTTTATTGATCTCTCTTCTGCTTTGTTCTCTCCTATCCCTCTGTTCTTCCTCCCTTTTCCCACCACCTTTTCTCCCTTTTGTTCCCCCTTCCCTTGCTTTTAACCAATTATTGAGCACCTACTATGTGCAAGATATTATGCTACACACAAAAAGTGAGAGAAATGATGTGCTTTGGCACCAGTAAGGTGTCCCCCAGGCGACTGGGAAGGAGGATCTTGAACAAAAGAGATTTGATGACGTTTATCCTGCAAAGTTAAGGGGAGAAGGGTGGTCAGAGGAGAATATCCTGGTGGGAAAGGAGACAAGATCTGAGGAAATGAAGCTGAAGGACATGCACTTCCACTCAGGATTTGGAGTGTGGGAGGAATGCTTGGTGTGGAGGAGGTTAGCACTGGTTAGTGTTGTTTAAAGGACTAGAAGCCTGGTCTCTAATTTAAAGGGGCACGGGATTGGGGTATAGCAGGCGGGGAACCAAAGGAATTTACTGAAAAATAAGCTGAAGTGCTAATTCCATTGTGAAGGGGGAAACAAGAACCTTCCCTTTTTTTGAGTTCAAGATAAGACTCTTCAGTCTAGGCTTGCTTTCCTAAATTCCCCTTCCTTTTGTTTTCCTGGACAATGAGAGGAATTCTTTATTTCAGCCACCAAAAGGTTGACTGTATTTAACATGAATTTGTGAGTGTATTGTGCTATAAGTTCCTTGGCTGTATCATATGTATACACACTTGGCTGCAAAATTATTCCTACAGTGAAGACACACTTTTTTCTCCTTTGTTTCCCATAAAATACCTTTCTGATCCTGTCTAAACAGATGAGTGGGAGGATGGACTGATGGGTAGGTGGACAGATGGATGAGGGGATGGGATGATAGGTGGGCAGATGTGTTGGGGGATGAATTAAATATTATTCATCAGTTCCCACTGACCATCAAGACTATTTAATGTCGATTAAACTACCCATATCTTAGGACAACTCTGCCACCTATTTCTGAGTTTAATCTGGGTGAAGTTTAAAATCACTAAAACATTTATTCACTTGATTTTTGCGACTTTATGTATAATCTGCTGAAATTTGGACAACTTGACAGTGACATTTCTATTTTGTGTGCATTTGATGTTGGCTTTTGCAAAGTTGTACATATATAGTTTATAAACCTTCATATTTGGAGCCTTTATATGTTTTCTTACCTCTTTGGAAAATGTCACAAAACATCATGATAAAAAGGTTGCAAAGGGAGAACATGAATTAAAAAATCAGTTAACAAGAGTGATTTAATTGGACCAGAAAATGGAAGCCCAGATCTAGATCCTCTAAACTAAAAAAAAACAAGTGATGTGGGGGTGATCACTTTAATACTGGACACTGCAGCTTTGATAGGTAGGAATTTATTGCAAGGGGCACCCTGATTGGTGAGATCTGCCGACTGCATGATTTTTGTCAAGTGCAGGAATTGATGACCCTCTGATCCAGAACCTATGAAGTCTGCCTCACTAACACACCTCCACACAAACATGTCATAGTCTGCAGTGTGCAAAATTTTGAAAAAAAAATTTTAAACAGCTTTGGAGGGAAGAAGTATAACACACATTTTTTAGAATAAGAAAATCTCCAACAAAAATTGCCACTGGGGGGCGATGGAAGTTCAGAAATTGCTCTGTAGTCCCGGTGGCAACCTTGCACTTCAGCTAGTTTATTTATTCAACTGGAATTTGGACATGCGAAACACCAAGCTCAGAGAAACTCCTGGATGAGGAACATAGTATAGTCCTGGGGAAAACCTACCAAAGATGGAATTAGCACATTGGTGGACTGCCTTTAACACAAAGAGCTTTCCTTCCTTGTGTATGTTAAGGATTGACTTCAGGGCCCATCAGTCTGAAACAGAGGGAATTGAGTTAAAACACAAAGAAACAAGACAACAAAGAAGGGTGCCTATTTATCATTACCTGCAAATGCATGTAAGTGCACAGTTCTCACGTCATTAAGGGTCATGAGAGCATCTCCCATCCACTTGGATCAGAGTTTTGGCTGGTGTGGGGGGGCCTAAATCAGGAACTTTCCTGGGGGGAGGAGGGAGTCTGTAGAGTTTATCTTAGGAAACTCCGAGTCATAGCTAACACTTCAGGTGATGGTTAAAGAATCTGAGACAGAGTTTAGACAGGTTTAGAAAAGTGTCTTAGAAAATGAAGGAGAAAAAAAATGTGTCTTTACTGAAGGGATCATTTTGCAGGCACCTGGTGGTGTGCTGTGGGCTTTGTTTCTCCTTCCCGATTTCCTTTGCAGAGCTTGGGACCACTGGTAGGGCTTGGACCCAGCCCTGGCACCAGACTTTGTCCAGCCTGTGCCCTCAAGCATTGTCAACGTTGGGGCTCCAGCCACTTATCGTCCTTGGTCTTTTTTTCTTTCCCAAGGCCGGTTCCATCCAAACGTCACCAGCGCCAAGGACTTTGCCCTGTTTTGGATCCAAAGGACAGGGTGATGTGGAACTTAAGAAAGCAATTCCAGGATGTACTTGTGTGCATAACAGAAGGGATAAATAGGTCCAAGAAATTATGTTGCATCCCGTGTCCCGTAGGCTCTCCATGTCTAAAGCCCTCTGACTCAGCAGAGGGGTGGCCTGGGAGTTCGAAATTTGTAGCTAGGATGAAGAGACATGGATCTCAATGCCCAGTGCCTAGCAACTTCTAGAAGTTGCTGATGTATGTTTCGGAGGACACTCAGAATATCTAGAAGGATGTTTATATTAGTGAAGACATATGGGGCTTTGAGTGAGAAGCCCAATTTGAATTTGTTAAACAGAGCGAGGAATATATTGGTTTACATCCTCAGGAAGTCTAGGGTTGAGTAAGGCATCAGGAAGGGCTAGATCTGAGAGACCTGCCTCTCTCTCTCAGCCCAGTGTCCCTCTGTGTGATGGCCTTTCTTCCAACTTCTTTAACATTCTGGGCAGTTAGCTCCTGTGGGGACACACACTTTCCCTTGCTCAATCACTATGTCTGTGGGTAGAATGGGACAATATGATTTGCAGGGCCTGGGGTGTTATAACTGATAGCCACCCCCCCATAGAACCACATGAAGGGGGGGAGAGGATGTTCCTCAGAGGAAATGCTGCTGGACAGACTGAGTAGCATGAATCTACATGCAAATAATTGTGTGGACAGAGTGATCGAGAAGGTGAGTCGTAGTAAGACCCTGTTAGCCAATAGTAAAATTACCCCCAATTGCAGTCTCATGTCCCTAAATTCTACCATAGGCCCAATGAAGATGGTCTGGATTCTTATGTAAACAATTCTCTACTAATTCCAAGAGGACCTAAGAATTGTTTTCTATGGACAAATGCCTCTACGGAAAAGGATCCTGAGTTGGAATCCATGCAATAAGGAAAGCACCATCAATTCAATAGTGGATGCCAAAAAGAAAAGGAAACATACTGTCTAATAATGAAAAGGGCCAATAACTGCATTTGGGGCCAACAGTCTGAAATGATCCCTGGCAACCCCTTAAGGTCTACAACATAATTATGTGCAAGTTTCCCTGAATGCAAGTGATCTGCTCGCTGTGTATATCCTAATCATTACAAAATGCATGCCCTGGTGCAAAACATAAACTGAAACAAAATAAAATTTCCAGGAACTCAGGGCCTAAAATAGCTATAAGCAAACACCGATAAGGTATAAATGGAGACAGCAGGACATTCAAGCCTGAGTGACAACAGCCTGCAAGGCTGACAGGGTTGCCAGAAGCCATTGTGCTGACAAGAAGAATTACTGAGGTCATAGGCCTGGCAACCACATCTACACAGAATTCCAAGGTCTAGGAAAGAAACTCCAGGCCCTGGGGCAGGGTGGCTTAGAAAGTTCCATTTGTTCTTCAGGCTCTGAATGTGGAAGTCACCTTCCTTTTCACAACCTCCACAGCCTCACTGGTGAAGTGGCACATGTTTGGTAATGGGCCAGGCAGGAAATGTTTTGGGCTTTGTGAGCCATTGCCTCAGTCACGGCACTGCTAAACCCCAAGCCCAGATAGTCCTGGGCAAATCCTGGTGGTAGGCCAGCCGACCACAGGGCTGTGTATTGCTAGCACCTTGCGATCTGCTTTCAAACTCAGGAGATCATTCTAAACACAGAAGTCTGAGAGCCACTCCATCAGCTGTGGGAAGGAACTGCTGAAAGACTTGGAGATGAG